AGTGCAGTGGTATGATCACGACTCACAGCAGTCTTAACCTCCTGGGGCTTAGGCAATCTTTCCACCTCATCCTCCCAAATAGCTGAGACTATAGACGTGAGCCACCATGCCTGGCTAATTTTTATTTTTTATTTTTATTTATTTATTTGTTTATTTATTTATCTTTTTTTTTTTTGAGTTGGAGTCTCACTCTGTCGCCAGACTGGAGTGCAGTGGCCACTCCAGGCCACCGCAGCCTCGACCTGCTGGGCTCCGGCTATCCTTCCGCCTCAGCCTTCCAAGTAGCCGGAATTACAGGCACGTGCTACCACGCCCGGCTGATTTTTTGATTTATTGTAGAGATGAGGTCTCTCTGCCCGGGTGGGTCTCGAACCCGCGGGCTCAGGCAATCCACTCACCTCAGCCTCCCAAAGGCGCGGGATTACAGGCTGAGCCACCGAGCCCAGCTACCAATATATTTTTTAGATTAGCATTTGATTTTTTTAAGCTGAGGCCTAAAATTATATGGATATGTAGATTTGTCATGGTGATATAAAGGTTAATGAATTCTAGAGATATGTAAAAATAAAATCAATATCATAAACCCACATTACAAAAATTATCAGTAAAGGAATGTTACACTTTTACTCTCTTATATCTTGTTTTATTTCTTCATGGGAAAGTTTTTATGCACTCATTTTTTTGTTCATTCACTCAGTCATTCAGTCAATCAACAAATATCTAATACTGAGAACCAACAGTTTGCCAGATACTGTTCTAGGTAAATAGTTACAAGAAAATCACCATTTGGTAGCTGGAGGTGCCAGCAATGAAAGCCTGAATAGAAAAAAATAACTAAATAGAAAAGGAGAAGCCGGGCTCGGTGGCTCAGCCTGTAATCCCAGCACTTTGAGAGGCTGAGGTGAGCGGATTGCCTGCGCCCGAGGGTTCGAGACCCGCCTGGGCAACTTGGCGAGACCTCATCTCTACAATCAGTCAAAAAATCAGCCGGGCGTGGTAGCGCGCGCCTGTAATTCCGGCTACTCGGAAGGCTGAGGCGGAAGGATCGCCAGAGCCCAGCAGGTCGAGGCTGCGGTGACTGGGAGCGGCCACTGCACTCCAGTCTGGGTGACAGAGTGAGACTCCAACGCAAAAAAAAAAAGAAAAGGAGAAATAGAAAATTCTCCTTAAATAGAAAATTCAAGACCAAACAAACTATATGTTGAACAAGGTTAAACCTCAATAAGAACTAGAAAAATATCAAGTAGCGGGATTGCACTCAAAAGGATCTTTCCTCAAATAAAAATTTTAAAAAAGTGAATTTATTGTACAGAAAGGTAATCCTCATAGGTATCAGAATTTAATGCTTCAGTTTCTAAATATTTCTATTTGTCTTCTGCCTAGCTTGAAACCTCACTCTCTTCTCTTAAAATTTCTTCTTAAAGAAGTTCCTGGCTGGGCTCGGTGGCTCAGCCTGTAATCCCGTACTTTGGGAGGCCCAGGTGAGTGAATTGCCCGAGCCCACGGGTTCGAGACCCGCCTGGGCAACTTGGCGAGCCCTCTCTACAATAATTAAAATTAAATTAAAAAGTTCCTAGGTTGATGCTAACCAGTTGGCTTTATCTAATCTTCCCCAGAAAAAATACAAAGTCATTTGAAATCAACACTGCCACCTACAAGTAAGTACTCTGAAAAGAAAAAAGACTGAAATACCAATCACCTGGGTAGATGTCCAAGCTGCCAGAAATCTAAGAATAGGACTTTGGAATGGGGCTTCTGGCTTACAGAAAATAGAAAAGGGATTAAAGTGAAATGAAACAAGAAAAAGAACTTCAAAGTCTTGGCATAATTCAAAAACAAATCTGTTTGTCTATGTATTTTATCTGTATATTAACTATGTCATTGCAATCATTGCCCAGCTCCTTGGACAAGTTACTTTTTTTTTTTTTTGAGTTGGAGTCTCAGTGGATTTTTTTTTAGGTGAGTGGACTGCCTGAGTCCACGGGTTTGAGATCACCCCAGGCAACTTGGCAAGACCTTGTCTCTACAATAAATAAATAAATAAAAATTAGCTGGCCGTGGTAGCATGCACCTGTAGTTCCGGTTACTTGGAAGGCTGAGGCGGAAGGATCACTGGAGCCCAGAAGGTCGATGCTAGGATGGCTGTGAGCATGCCACAGTACTCCAACCTGGGCAATGGAGTGAGACTCCATCTCAAAAAAAAGAATGGTTGTCGGCCAGATGCAGTGGCTCAGCCTGTAATCCCAGCACTTTGGGAGGCTGAGGTGAGAAGATTGCCTGAGCCTGGGGGTTCAAGACCAGCCTAGGCCACATAATGAGGCCTCATCTCAGCAAAAAAAAAAAAAAAAAAAAAAATCAAAAAATTAGCCAGGCATGGATTACTGGTGGATGCACCTGTAGTCCCAGCTACTTAGGAGGCTGAGGTGGAAGGATTGCCTGAACCCAGGAAGTTGAGACTGCAGTGAGCCATAATCATACCACTGCATGCCAGCCTGGGTAATGGAGTAAGACCCTGATTAAAAAAAAAAAAAAAGAATGGTCGAATAATAGTTCAGATATCTATTTCACCTTTTCTTGAGTGCTAGTATGTTGAGCCTTAACCACTATGCATAGGCAAGGCTTCTTTCCTCCCACCGCCCTCTGCCCCATCAAAAAATGTCACTAGGTCCTTTGTTTTCAGCTGAATTTTGGTAATGCATAGGATCACCAAGTAAGAAGTATTCTCTGATTCACTCTGAAACGTATGCCTGAACAACTTGTTTGCTACCATAAGAAAAGGATCCTAAGTTGAACTTCAACATTAACGATAATAAAGTAGGTGTATAAGAAATATTTCCTGAATTTAATTTTTAGATTTTAGTTTCAGCAGTTAGAGAACTGGATGGCCCCAGATTCTAAAAATACATCAGAGCTATGTATCTTGATATTAAAATTACACTTATTGGCCAGACACAGTGGCTCACGCCTGTAGTCCCAGCTACTGGGGAGGCTGGGGCGGAAAGATCACCAAAGCCCAGTAGGTAAAACTCTCGACTTAAAAATAAAAAAATAAAATTGCACTTTCAAACTTTGGAGGAGTCCAGCTTATTTTAGGCATTGCAGCATGGAAGTCACATGAGCTTGATCCCCTAAGAAACAACTTGATGTTTTTAGGAGTTGATGGGTGAAACTGAGGGAAAGGGGATAGAAGGAATACTGACTACAACAGATTGTGCTAGTGCCCTACACAGATGGCATCATGCTGCTGAATAATCAATATTATTTTTCTGTCAGTCTGAACATCATCCAGCACTTTACTCAGCACCTGGAAAGTAGACTCATCTAAATAACGGATAGAAAGAATAGGTGATACAATAAGGTGATGAAAAGATATCTTCAAATAAGGTTAAAGCTGAAATCAAGAAAAATTAAAAGCCGGGCTCGGTGGCTCAGCCTGTAATCCCACACTTTGGGAGGCTGAGGTGAGTGGATTGCCTGAGCCCACAGGTTCGAGACCCGCCTGGGCAACTTGGCGAGACCTCATCTCTGCAATAAATCAAAAAATTAGCCGGGCGTGATAGCGCATGCCTGTAATTCCGGCAACTCGGAAGGCTGAGGCGGAAGGATCGCCGGAGCCTGGCCGGTCGAGGCTGCGGTGGCCGGGAGCGGCCACTGCACTCCAGTCTGGGCGACACAGTGAGACTCCAACTCAAAAAAAAAAAAAAAAGAAAAATTAAAAAATATATATATGTTCAGCTATCTGTACAATGACATCCCTGGCAAAATTTTTAAAATAGGCCAGTATGACGTATTGATAAGAATATGGAACAATGAAAGCCCTTAAATACTTCTAGTGAAATTATAAATTGTTGAAAACCACCTTGAAAAACATTATGAATTTCAAATAAAGTTGAAAATGTATATCCCCTGCAATCCAGCAGTTCCACTCCTAAGTACCCTAAAGAAATTCTTACCCAGGAGACATGTACAATTATGCTAATACCAGCATTGTTTCAAATAACAAAACCTTGGTAACTCAACATATCTGTCAAGAAAGCCAGTTAATAAATCGTGGTTTATTTATAAAAGGGAATACAATACAGCAGTGAAAGTAAATTACATCTACATATATCAACATGAATGAACTTCATAAGCGTGTACATTGGTGGGGGAAGGATAAGTTGTAGAAGAAAACTATTTGAACCCAGCTGTGTAAAGTTAAAAAAAAAAAGCACCAGGTATGGTGGCTCATGCCTGTAATCCCAGCACTTTCCAAGACTGAGGCTAGAGGATTGCCTGAGCCCACAGGCTCAAGACCAGCCTGGGCAACATGGCAAGACTCCATCTCTACAATCAATCAAAAAATTAACTGGGTGTGATGGCGCACATCTGTAGTTCAGTCCTTGGAAGACTGATGTGGAAGAATTGCCTGAGCCCAACAGGTCGAGGCTACGGTGGCAGTGAGCATACCACT